GGTTTATTTGAAGAGGGGGTCCTTTAGCTGGTACCGACCTTTTGAAATTTCAAGGAATAGAGAGAGAGAGAGAGAGAGAGAGAGAGAGAGAGAGAGAGAGAGAGAGAGAGAGGGATTACTGAAAAGTTTTATCTGATAAATCATTCATATTTTTTATAAGGGTCTCTTTATTTGGAGATGTCAAGTATGTTTTATAGTTAAAGGAGTTGATCCTTATGTCGCGGGTTCAAATCCCACTGTGGAGTCGTGGAGACCGTCCTTCGGATGAGACCGTATAAACCGAGGTCCCGTGTCGCAGTTGCTGGCACGAAAAAAATCCCTCACTGCTCAATGGCCCTGAAAGCCGAGCATAAGTAACAAAAAATGCAGCTCTCCACCGACAATTAAGTGATACATGCCTATACATGGATATATACGTGTTATGCAATAAACTCTTACCCTGTTTTCAGTGAGCGTAGATAAAAGTGACAGTTGACCAAACTCCAGACTAACCAGAGCACCCTTCTGCAAAAATCACGTGGTATGGAATGCCGTTTTCGCCATAATTTTTTATGGACTACAACTATGAAACGGGTTAATAATAATTTAAAGGATATGTGTAGAGTGACAACCAAGGTTTTAGCAATATTTGATTACAGGAAAAGGGCTTTAGCTCTTTAATTAAAAGAGGAAGGATGTCATCATATTCTTGCAATGTTGTGTTTAATTGGCTTTGGATTGGTTCGATCTAAATTACTTAGATCTGACCTGGATTTTGAATGAACTGCGTTCGCGTGGATGATACTTACAAGTGAAATTGGAAGCGTTATAAAAAGGTTTTTACGAACTTCACTAAATCTGAAGCAAAGAATATACAACTATATATTTTTAAAATTCAATTAAAGAACAAACCGGGGGGGGGGGGGGGGGGGGGGGGGGGGGGTTGGTCTTGTTATTTACGGTTTAACTCCCCCCCCCCCCCATCCCCAAGTCAACCCCTTTTTGATTTCACTTTGCTGGGTGATGTTTACATCGTTCTTTTTAAATAAACATAATTTCAAAGTTATTGGGTCAAACATTTTTTGTCGGGGAAGCAGGACTGGAAATTTGGATGGGATATGGGCAACTCCCCAAAATCTGACAACTAAAACATAGAGTAAAAAAGGATTAATCTGACAAGAAAAAAATAACTTGATTAACTGTCCAAATCGTAGAATTAGCCAGTGCTCAATCTTACAGCAAAAGGGGGATTGGGGGTGTATTTAAAGGAACGTTTTCTATAGCAATACCGAGTTTACTCAAAAAAAGTGGAATGGTGGGGGACGGGCTCTCCGCATTATACAGGCACTGGAAAGAGGTGGTGTTTTTTTTTTTTATTTTCCACATAACCTAAAAATGTTATTAATCAAAATATAAAGTAATTTACCCAAATATGGAATAACTTCTTTCGCCCGTGTGTGGACGGGATGGGGGGAGGGGGGGTTCTTACAGTTAATTTAGTTCATCGGATATTTAGTTTGTAATTCATCTGAACCATTTTTGCACGAGTCCATGTGTTTTTTGGAAGGGGGTGGGGGTTGAAAGGAGGTTAGTTCAAAGTAGGAGTTTTTCGCTATTATGCATAAAAATTTCTTTAATAAAATACATTGTACTCTGAAAATACCCTCGTGGTCCGCACCCATCCATCCCTTATACAGATCCGCGCATGTTGACGAACATATTATAGAGCTAAAAGAACAATTTTTATGAGTTTGTAGATGCATCATTAATATTATTGTTTTGATGGCAACATGTATTTTGTTGGACCCCAAAAACCAAACTGTCGTTAGAGGAGCTGAGCCGTCCGAAAAGCCTAGGCTAGCAAATATGACAGATAGAATCATAACTTTTAACTTTGATGAGTGACAAATATACAAGTAAACATTTTGGTTTAACGACATGGAACTTTGACTCATATTTGTAAGCCAGTTCCTTCTCTGTAGCCGTAAGTGGTTGGAGTTACTCAATAGTCCAATCCACACATAGGACATACTAGTAGTTATGTCCCTTTGAGAGGTCAACCAAAAGGTAATAAATTATAACATTTCACCTCTTTATTCTACTAAACAACTGGGCATGTCCCATCTTGGGACAATCATTATACAAGATTTTTCCAGTCAGATGACAAAGTTACAAATCAGAAAACTATAAAGGCTACTGTGAGGATTATATGGTATTTCCCCAAAGATGGCGACAAACGGGCATAACTTTTGAAACATTTGGAATCAACTTTTGTGGTATTCACATCATTGGTAGACAAATCTGGACATTTTCACCCTTAAATGAATGTGGTTGTATTTCTGGTCATCTTCCATTATATAGACTTATATAGTAAAGGATCAGATAGTACTCTTCTTTATCAAATCTATCTTTTATTACAAACTAAGCTAGTACATGTTATGTACTTTACATATCTATTGCAACTGTTGCAGGAAAAAATAAGCTTCTGTAAAAATTTTGTGAACAAACTCCTGTACCAAGTTCATGTAATAGTGTATTAAAATACTGACACAACACAATTTATGGTGATTTTAATTAGGATGATATCTGTTCAAATGAACATCAATGGAACATCTTCAATACCTGAGATCAATTTCTTCTAATCATAAATCACTAATTGCACATCAATAAATGAAATATTTTTTGGACAAGGTACATGTAATGGTTTGTCTGTTGAAGAGCTGAAATCTCAAATAAATGTCGTTTTTTTTTTTTTTAATACAGGCCCTGAATTTTTTTCCTATTGTTACCGACAAAAAATTCCAGACTGGGAATTATCAACAACTTCTTTCTCATTTGAATAAAATTTCTTTTGTAATATTATTCAGGCTTTAATTTACATTTTGTACATGTAAATATTAAACAAAACATTTCTATTTGTATATAAATTTTGAAGTAAATTATCTAACATGTAATAAACAATTTTTAGCAAAGAACTTTTTCATAATCATACATATAATTATTACTTTCAAAAATTCCTACAATTAATTTGGAGATTATAAAAAAATATTTTCATTAATAAAACAAGTAAAGATTTAAACATATACATGTATAATACTGTACATGTAAAGTGTATTTCAATAAATAAAACTTTTACATGTACTTAAGAAATAAGGTATCATTTTTTGAGTGTTATTGGGATGTAAAACGGGTTGGTCACGTGATCAAATCCCATAAAGCCCGAGCTTTATGAAAGATTTGATCATGTGCCAACCCGTTTTTTAAACCCAACGGCATGTATGTAATCCACTGAACAAGCATTGACCCTTTATGACGTCACTGAGAAATTACATCTAACGTTTATCCATATGAACATCTATGACCTCTTGACCCCGTATCTGTATTTATACAGTTATAAAAACACTTGCTTTCAATAGTGTTATATAAAGGAAAACATTTGCAAATGTAAATATATGCAGTTAAAAATTCTTTAAACATTCCATTAAATTGATAACAGAGAAATTTAGTAACTTTTCTTGCCATTTCCATTATTCATCATCTTCATATTCTCAAGGTTCTTTACCTGTTCATAAAACTTTTATGACAAAAGTCAAGGTTTCAAAATATTCGGGCTAAAAAGCTTACTTTTCAAGTATACAACTTGAAGTCCAAACAAATCAGAAAACAGCTTTTATTGAAGGTAAATTTTCTAAACAAATATGACTCATCTTAAAAATGGTAAGTCCAATATTGTAGGATTTGTGACTAGTTACCTCTAATAAACAAGAGATGTTTGTAAAACACTTATGCCCCCCTCCCCCCAATATTGGAATTTTTCCAAGTCCAAGGGGCATAACTCTGTCAAAAATGGTGCAATCATACCTAAAACAGAACTTGACCTAGATATTAATGTGAAATATCTGTATACAAAATTTCATTTCAGTATGTGCAAAGGTTGCAAAGAAAATGAACGAAACTGCAAATAATTGAAATTTTTCTAAGTCCAAGGGGCATAACTCTGTGAAAAATGGTGCGATTGTACCCAAAACAGATCTTGACCTAGATATTTATCTGATAAATCTGTATACTAAATTTCATCTGAGTATGTGCAACGGTTGCAAAGAAAATGAACGGAAACTGCAAATAATTGAAATTTTTCTAAGTCCAAGGGGCATAACTCTGTCAAAAATGGCGCAATCGTACCCAAACCAGAACTTGTCTTAGATATTCATGTGATATATCTGTATACTAAATTTCATCTCAGTACGTGCAACAGTTGTGAAGAAAATGAACGGAAACTGCAAATAATTTTTCTAAGTCCAAGGGGCATAACTCTGTCAAAAATGACGCGATCGTACCCAAAAGAGAACTTGACCTAGATATTTATGTGATATATCTGTATACTAATTTTCATCTAAGTATGTGCAACGGTTGAAAAGAAAATGACCGGAAACTGCAAATAATTGGAATTTTTCTAAGTCCAAGGGGCATAACTCTGTCAAAAATAGCACGATCGTACCCGAAACAAAACGTGACCTAGATATTCATGTGATATATCTGTATACCAAATTTCATTTCAGTATGTGCAACGATTGCAAAGAAAATGAACGGAAACTAAGTGGACCGACAGACCGACAGCAGCAAAGCAATATGCCCTCCCTTCTTCGAAGGGGGGCATAAATATTGTAGATTACTTTTTTTTGAAGATTTTCCTCAATATAATCACAAAAGATGTGCTATGGCTTTGAGCCACTTTAAAAGATATATTCTTAAAGGTTGGTTTATAATTTACCATTGGATTATATCTGTAACCACAAGCCCAACTTTTAAATATTGACTTTTTTCAAGGGTTTGTGAAGAGGAACTTTAATACAAAACCTTGAGAGATGTTTATTCATATACAACTGAGAGTTTTTAAAAAATAAAATTCTCTATTCAATTTTATAAAAAAGATAAAACCTCAAATAAATATGAAGTATCTTCATATTAAAACAGTTTAATAAAAGTTGATGCTGCCATTTTCAATAATTTTCTCAAAGAAGTCATGAGGAAAAGAAATCTGCTGAGATGATCATATCACATGCACTAGTGTAATCTAACATGTCTTTGGAAAAGTTCCTGAAGCTTCTGAGAAGAGCCTGGTCCTTCTTTGTATTTCGTTTGTAACGTTTCCCTCGGATGAGTTTATCTGCTAAGTAATGTAGCCAGAACACATTGGTCTGGGCATGAAAACCCTTCCAGTCATTTCTAAAAAAAAAAAAAAAGAAAGATTTAATAATGAAAGAAATGAAGAAATGACCATTTTTGAGGTCCCTCTTTGAAAATATTCCCATATTTTCCAGATTAGCTTGAATCAAATACATGTAGTTGAAAAACTGAAGTAAATCAAGAATTAAACAAGCTAATTCAGAGAATTTGTGCCCCCACTTAAGGAAAAAGTCGGATCCCCCTGACTGAATTCGTAGAATTATTAAATGTATACATGTATACTGAAGCAAATAAAATACATGTATGTCAATATGCATATAAAAATTTGATTAAAAAAAAAAGAAAATGGATCGTCTGGGATTTAAACCCAGGACCTCACACTTGTGAAGCGAGAGACATACCACTAGACCACAGAACTGCTTTACAATGGCGAAAATTATATGCAAAGATGAAGTCACATACATGTATTTATATATTCACGTTCGATATTGTCAAAATTTTGCACAATTCATGGTGTCTAATTTAACCTTTATTAAACAGTTCTTAAGAAATAAGGTATCATTTTTTGAGTTTTATTGAGATGTAAAACGGGTTGGTCACGTGATCAAATCCCATAAATGCCCGAAGGGCTTTATGGAAGATTTGATCAGGTGCCAACGCGTTTTAAATCCCAATAAAACTCAAAAAGTGATACCTTATTATTTATATTTACATTTGTGACTTATTCATACTTTATATTTGCCTGATTGTTACTTTTAATGTGTGAAATGCTTTAATTTTTCAAACCCAACGGCATGTATGTAATCAACTAAACGCGCGTCGACCCTTTATGACGTCACAGAGAAATTACGTCGAACGTTTATCCAAACGCACATCTATGACCTCTTGACCCCATACCTGTATTTACACAGTTATAAAAACGCTTGCCTTCAGTAGTGTTATATAAAGGAAAACATTTGCAAATGTAAATATTAAAATATAAAGTCCACCGAGAACCTGTTTTATACGTAATAACTCTCCTCATGCCCCTGTGCTAAAAATAGCGACATGTAATGCAATAAATACTAGAAAAATACTAAAAAACCAGAAGTCTCTGTCGAGACTGAAGCTCTACTGGTTTGTACTTATAGCAAAGGAAGAGAAAAGTTCTTAAGCAGTTGGAAATTGAAACTTTTCAACAGCGATAAATAGAATAATGATCCTTGATTAAGTCTCTTTATGTTCTTAGTGCAGTCTACTTGCATGCCACATTTATATTATAATCAGACTAAAATTGTATTTGGAGTAGCATTTTGAAAGAATTTCACAGAAATTTCTATTTTTAGTAACCACGGCAACACCGTTCATCGAAATCAAAAACCGATACACAGAATTATGTATCTTAGTGTAGTCTACTTGTGTGCCAAGTTATACTGAAATCAGACTAAAACTGTAGGAGGAGTAGCATTTTGAAATAATTTCACAGAAATTTCTATTTTTAGTAACCACGGCACCACCGTTCATCGAAATCAAAAACTGATACACAGAATTGTGTATCTTAGTGTAGTTTACTTGTGTGCCAAGTTATATTGAAATCAGACTAAAACTTTAGAAGGAGTAGCATTTTGAAAGAATTTCACAGAAATTTCTATTTTTAGTAACCATGGCAACACCGTTCATCGAAATCAAAAACCGATAGACAGAATTGTGTATCTTAGTGTAGTCTACTTGTGTGCCAAGTTATATTGAAATCAGACAAATCTGTTGGAGGAATAGCATTTTGAAAGAATTTCACAGAAATTTCTATTTTTAGTAACCACGGCAACACCGTTCTTCGAAATCAAAAACTGATACACAGAATTATGTATCTTAGTGTAGTCTACTTGTGTGCCAAGTTATATTGAAATCAGACTAAAACTGTAGGAGGAGTAGCATTTTGAAAGAATTTCACAGAAATTTCTATTTTTAGTACCCACGGCAACACCGTTCATCGAAATCAAAAACCGATAGACAGAATTGTGTATCTTAGTGTAGTCTACTTGTGTGCCAAGTTATATTGAAATCAAACTAAATCTGTAGGAGGAATAGCATTTTGAAAGAATTTCACAGAAATTTCTATTTTTAGTAACCACGGCAACACCGTTCATTGAAATCAAAAACCGATACACAGAATTCTAAAGTTAAACGAGACTTACCTGGAAGGTGAAGTTTGACTGGAATTTCTTCGACCAATTGGGGGTGCAGAGGGATCAAATGAGATGATAAGCTTACCACGTGATTCATACTTTTAGAGTTATATTTGGATTTATCAATTTATACTTTACGGGTGGGTGTATACTGCAAGTATACGGGAGGGCATTTGATCCCTCTGCACCCCCAATTGGTCGAAGAAATTCCAGTCAAACTTCACCTTCCAGGTAAGTCTCGTTTAACTTTAGAATTTCTTCTCCCAATGGGGTGCCTCAGTCTCAAATGAGACTTTAGAGTTGATAAATCCAAATTTTAAAGTTTTCTATAAGTATTAATATAAAGTTAAACTTGCATCCGCTTTAAAGCCTTCTTTAGCTGTGTCTCACGTATAAATAATCGTAATCCATTATGTCTATGATTTAGTTATTAAAGAAATATTTTCTTGCTTTTTAGTAGTAATCAATATAAAGCAGAAGTCAAATTTGTTTCAAATCTATTAAAATGAAATAAACACTGGCATACATGACATATATATGTGACAATCAAACTTGATCATATTTGGAAAGCATTCTTTGACTAAAATTGTCATCCACAATGATAGGTTTGTTATAATATTTTCTAAAAACACAGTCACTTTTCCATCCAACAGTCTTCAAGATGGTAGACATTGGAAGTTTGCGCGCAAGCGCTGCGCTGCTGGACGCCGCCCTAGTACTATGGGGTTTGAATATGTTAATGTCAATTCCAGCCGCACACATAACGGATTTCATCCATCTGCCAACAGTGTCCCTGGACACCCCGCGATGGGGTTTCTGCGTTGTAATGAATAAGTTTGTAACATCATTTCTCAGGTTACTCGTTCTTAGAAGATAGTGTTTCATAACACGAACAACACATAAACTTTCATCATGAGGATAGCTTGAAAAATTTAGTTCGCCCATATGTGACTTAGGATTTGATGTTTTCAACAGATCACCTATAACAATTTTCAATAATTTGTCTTCGACATGTACATTTCTTATATCTATTAAATGCAACGTTTGACCCCTTTGTCCTGACAATAACGCAAGTAACATTAATAACTTGTGAGATACATGTAACAAGGTCAAATCCATTAAAGGTTCTAGAGATTTCAAATAATCCAACACAATATCTACATTCCATGTAACACTATATTTAGGTAAAGCAGGTTTCATTATAAAAACACCTCTCAAAAATCTACAAACTAAATGATGTGAGCCAATATTTACAGAGTTTGTTAATTGTAAAAACGAAGATAATGCACTTCTGGCGGTATTCAATCCGCTGTAACCTAAACCTGCATTATACAATTTTGTCAAAAACGCCAAAACATTATTTACATTTGCGTCAAAAATATCAATTTTTCTTTGCTGACAAAATAACATCCATTTTTGGTGATATGTCCAATATTGTTTCTTTGTGGATTCCCTCCACGAGGAGAGGAGTACGTCGATAGTGTCCTCCGATAAGCCTCGGTTCTGGAGCGATTTCCGGACACACGAAAAACACCCAGTCTCATCTTGGGTATCGGATGTACTTTGTCTGGATTGTTCGGTAGCCTCAGAAGTTGCTGATTGTTCGGTAATAAATAGCTGTTCGCTGCTATCAGCTGTAGTAACTTGGGAAACCAGGGTTGCGTCGGCCATATCGGGGCTACAATGACTGCTTCCACACTCTCTATCAATATTTTCTGCAGTACCCTGCTGAGAATACAGAAAGGACAGAAAATATAACATTTTAATTCACTCCATGAAATTGTAAAAGCATCTATCGCTATTGCATGTCTATCAGGGGCATATGACACATATGGAGAAATTTGTCTATTGTATCGGGATGCAAATAAATCTATGTCACAATTCCCGTATAGTCTTGTAATCTCGTCAAAAATCTCTGGATCAAGCATCCATTCCATATCAGGATTAAAGTTTCGTGAAAGGTAATCAGCTTCTACATTTTCTACACCTGCTATATGACATGCCGTTACCCAAATGTTTCTTTTTATACAAAATTCCCAAAATTGTTTTGTTAATTCATTTAGGGTTTCAATTTTTCCTCCCATTTTATTAATATATGTAACAGCGACAGTGTTATCTAAATACAGTTTTACATGACAGTCTTTCAAGTATTTGCACATGCGTGTCAAAGCGAGATAAGCTGCTTTCAGTTCCAGGAAATTTATATGAGCTTCCTTATCGTGGTCATCCCATAATCCCTGAATGCACTCCCCGCTGTTTTCATTGATAGCGCCCCAGCCATTCCCCGAGCTGTCAGTTTTTATCGTAACGAGGGGGTTATCATGCATTATTTTTCGAGGATAATTATTCACATTATTAATCCACCATTGTAGGTTAATTAGGGCATCTGGCGAGAGTGAAATACGAGCTTCATAGTTTCCAACGTTTTGTTTTAGAAGTCTATCTTTCTCTATTTCTAATGACTTGTAATACAGAGGTGCGAATTGGACTCCTTGCTCACTTGCCACGAGTTTTCCTATCAGTTGCGCTAATTGCCGAATTGTTAGACTTTGCGAGGCAATGATTTTGTTACAAGTGTCTTGTATAGATTTTGCCTTATCGTCCGTTAAAGAAACTGTCATTGTTTTCGAATTGATGATAAATCCCAAAAACTCGATTTTCTGTGTAGGAATAAAGACTGACTTTTCTATATTCACTGTTAAACCGAGGTTGTCTAGCAATGTAGCAGTGGTTTTAACGTTTTTTACACATTCAGTCTTAGAATCACTGATAAGTAATGTGTCATCTATGTATGCAACATTTGAAAAACCTTGTTTCCGTAGAGTTGAAAATGCGGGTTTCATTAATTTGGTAAATATTCTGGGCGCTGACGCT